TTTTTTTTTTTTCTAAATTAACATTTGGTACTTAAGCTTGTGTCTTTACAGCTCATGGTAAATGAAGATAAGCAAAGACAGTGTCTGCAAACACCTACATTTTAGAGGTTGCATGCTTGAGTTCTAGTCTATTCTATCAGTTAACTGTTCCAAGTTCTAGAATTATAGTTCAGGCTCCTGGAGTTAACAGCTCATGATTTACATGGATATTAGCTGAGCCACGTGGAAACTGTTAACAAACACCCATCCCGCCACCCAGTGTCTGTTTTGTCTCAGTTCTGCTTTTGTCCTGTTCATAGGCTCTGGCTTCCTCATGCACTTTGACAGTGGCTCTGTAAATGTGGGTGACAAAGCAGTGCTGGAAAGTAGAATACTTTACCCTAAACGAGGGTTTCAGTGCTTGGAATTTTATTTGTACAACAGTGGAAGTGAAAATGACCAGCTGAACATCTACGTGAGGGAGTACTCTGACAATGACGTGCGTGGGAAATTAACCCTCGTGGAAGAAATAAAAGGTACAAGAGCAACTTTCTTATTGTCTCTTAATGCAGCAATTTTAAACAAGGTGGAAGCTATCAGCTGTTTTTCAAATAGAGCTTGAGGATCCTTCCATAGAGAAGCTGAAGTGAGGGTCCCTCCGGCTGTATGCGCGTGGTGCTATCTGAAGAAGTGCAGCACAGCTTCAGAAATTGTAGAGTTTCGGGAAGTAGTAAAAGTCCAGTGAGGGTCAGCGTAGGCAAAGCAGCAGGAACTAGTATCTCAGCGTAACTAAACTACAGGTTGGGCGAGCAAGGGCAGGACTGGTGCTCAAGCACCACTGGAATCCCTCAGCTCACCTCAGAATGCCCTCGCCCGGGAGCTGGGACCGGGGCCTTTGGCTTCCCAGCTCACTGCCCAGCTTATCTTTCGTCCAGCGTGCCATAGAAAAGGGACCCTTTATACAATTTCTAGCTTTAAATGAAGGACTCTGGTTGTTACAGCTTGGACTGAGTGCACCTGTGAAAGCAATTGCTGGGCAGGGAGAGGATGCTCCTCTTGGTAGCTCTGAGGTAGCAGGGAGGTGGGCCGGGCTGGTCACCCAGTGAAGCAGATGGCTAAGAGGACTCCCTGGAGGAGAGAGAGCGATCTGAGCTGGTGGACAGGGCCCCTCTGCTCGGCGTCTTGGCCTCGTGGTTTGATGGACCGGGAAAAACGTCTTCTAAGATGGCTCCACACCATTCCACGGCATGCTGCTTTTCCTCTGTTTAATGAAAAAGAATCTGAAACACAGATGCTACTTTTCCTTGTACACACCTATGAACATGAAGAATATGCATGCATCATGCGTATGTTTTATTGCTGAAGTTTTATATGACATAATTACATATTATAGATATGAAAATCTTATAGGAAGGTCTTCTAGATACTAATATAAATATCATAAATTGATACGTAAGTTAATAGAAATTTCAATTATTTATATAAAATTACCTATGCCTAGAAGGAAGATTCTTCTCATTAGCAATCTGTAGATACATCAGGGGTAGACAAAATAACACAAAGGCACTTAAGAGACTGCTTAGGAGCCCATAACTTAAACTGGTGGTACTGAGAATAAAGAAATAAAAGCTCTCATAGAAGATTTTCATTCAGTCTAGGGGACATCCACAAACAGTAGCATGTTGTGTAATT